GGAATCTAACCTAATACCGTTATATAGATATAACGAATATGCTATATAACGGAATTTTTTTGTTAGCCCAGATTTCCATTATATCCATAGTTAACAGTATAAACTTTGTTGCAATAATGGTTTTTAACTTATATATTAACTTTAAATTAAATCTATAAACTTTATTACAATAATATTTTTTAATTTATATATTAATTTTAAATTAAATTTTATAAATAAATATATCAAAAAAAGAAGAATAAAATGTGTTTTAAACTGAATTAAAATTTTGCAATTTTGATATAATTTGAAAATGTAAATCAGTCAAAAAAAATTAACAGTTTTAAAGTAAAATATATATATATAATTATACTTTGAACAACTTTTTGTTAAGAAATAAAAAGGTTATCTTTGTAAAAAAAAAGTTTGCTATACGATCATCAAAACACAAATTTTTACAAAAAAACAAAAACACAAAATCAACAGAACTTAAAAATAGCACTAAGAAGCAAAGCTTACATGACTAAATAAAAAGAAAGAAGATATAAAACAATACTCTGTCTCTTAAAAGACTAGAGTTGAGAAGTCAAAACCTATCAAGATATAGAAGAAAACTTGGAAATATAGCAGTTTTTCATCGTTAGAGGTTGGACTCGTTGAATAATTATTCAAATATTCAATGAATATTTGAATATTCGAATTTATATTTATTTCATCAAATCAAATATTCAAATATATTAATTATTCACCAAATAAATTCAATGAATATTCGAAAATATATATTAGAAAAATTAAAAATCATAATAATACTATCGCTATTAAATCTTCTGAAACCAATATATATAAATAGATTTTATATCAGTATTAAAAAGTTATCAAATTTGAAAACATTATAAATTATTAGATTTATATAATAAAATCAAACTTGGTAAATATAAAAAATACTATAAACTTTAATAAATTATTAAAACAAAACCAAATAGTAAAAATCATAATTTATTATTTACAGAAAAAATTAACTTCGTATACTCTTAAATTGCTTATAAAATTAATGTATTAATATTAGCATATATATAAAATTACACATATCCTCCTGGATACATATCATTTCACTGACAATTATTTCCCCAACATCTCATTTCACCAACAATCGATTTACAGACAAGTTCATTTCACTAACAATTATTTTATCAATATTTATTTTATTGACATGTTAAATTCACCGACATGTTTAGTTTACTGACAATTGATTCACAGACAACCTTGTTGGTGAAATAAGCTTGTTAATGTTATAATTGTCTGTGAATCAATTGTTGATAAACTAAATATATTAGTGAAATAAACTTGGCTATAAATCGATTGTCAATGAACTAAGGTATCACAAAATAATTGTAGTGAAATATGCACTACCGTATTCTTCTCATATAACTCAATCTGGATACTGGATTCATCCTAATCCACTAAGTTCTAATTTTGCATACCGTCACAACATCTTACATAATAAGAATATAAAGATCTCATAGTTGAAAATAAACTGCAGAAGTCAATCTTATTTGATAAAAACAATCAACCTGTCTTTTGATGCCGTGATTTGAATATAAGTGTGTGGTACATGATCTTTTCCTTGTATCTCCAATATCAATCTTGCTCAAAACTACTAACCAAATTAGTCAATTAATAGAATTTATTGTCACATTGAAAATTCTAAACATGAAGAAATTAATAATGACAAATCGGGGTAAGCTACATTAAAGGCTATGCAGTTAAATATGAAAATTCAAAATATATTTCAAGAAGCATTTGAATTCACGCTAAAAAGAATTGAATTTTTATATTCAATTACACAGCCTTTAATATAGCTTATCCTGATTTGTCGTTATTAATTTCTTCATATTTATAATTTTCAACATGATACTTTATATTTCATTTTCATTTGAATTTACTCATACTAATTTTTTTTTAAAATATATTCTAAGCCTTCAAATTCATGCTAAAAAGGAATTGAAAGAAAATTAGTAAGCAAATTCAAATGAAAATGAAAATATGAAGCACTCAAATATTTTTAAAAATTGTTGATAAGGAAAAATTAGATAGATACACCTTTTTTGCAGCTTAAGTCTTCAGTTACTATGAATTTTTCTGATCTTTTCTTGAGATCTATATGTAGAATAGATGAGATGAAATATAATTGAAATCTTCTTGTAAGATATAAAAGAATGAAAAGTCAAGTTAATGAAAAATCATCCAATTCGGATTTCAAATAATTCATAAAATTCTTTTTTACTTTAAAAAATCTATCCTTTAAACTTTTTTGTATCTTTTTCATATCTTATCTTGCTCAAATCGAATATTTTGAGTAGAATTCATAGAAGAAGACAGTTTACAGTCCTATTTATCAGTCCAAACACCTGATGAACTATCTGTCAACAGACCTGATAGCTCAATTTTAGAAAACACAAGTGCAAATGAAGAAAGCAATAATAAAATATCTAAAAAGCCGGTTTATAAAAAAGCAAAAGTAAGATATAAGGGCGGGTCAACAAAACAAAACTGGGTCTAAAAATATTTTAAATCAGAAAAAGTAATTGAAAAGTCTAAAGATGCCAATATTGAAGTCACATATGGCATTTGTCTTGTATTGGATGATTCAGGAGAA